TCTTTTGTACAATATTTCATAATTACCCTCGTAAATTGAATTTCTTTTAACTAGTAGAGTGAGGATTATTACCGTAATGGTTTTAAGAGTATCAGAAAGTTCTGAAAACATGAGATCAAATAGGCATGTACTGTATAACTATTTTGAAGTTCATGAAAATAAGATTTTGATAGAAGCCCTTCATTTCAACATGACCTTGACCCTGGTCTGTATACGTATTTGACCTTGTGACATTCAGAGTTGACCGATGTCATTCATTAAAAAAAAGTATATTTATCCAAGAATGTTACTGAAAAAATATCGTAACCCGGATCTCTTTGATTACTTAGGGAGCAATTGGGTTAAGGTTATTTTGTTTGAAAAGATATTTATATCAAATATCAGTACATCCCAGTATGCTACTGGACTGATATGATGAGTCTGGATTTCGGTAACAGATATAACTTATTTGACACTTGTCATATTGTGAGAAGGACAAATATTATTTACCCGAAACATTTAAATTCACCCCATTATTCCATTATACCATAGAAAAGAAATTGTCAAAGAGGAATATGGCGGCTCGACAACATTGGCATGGCAAGTTTGAACTATATAACAACAAAGTTTCAATAAGAATTATTAACTGTTTTGTATATGTTGATTTTACTTCTTCTATTTTTTCAACTGGCATGTTCCCTCGAACAATAATTTGACCTCCATGACTCTTTTCAACATAAGAACAAGCTGATGGTTTTAAAACTATACAGTTATACGTGCATCAGGTATGCCGACAGGTATGCTAGAAAAGTGTAGTAAGATCCTTCACATCAATATTTTCAGTTTATTTGGTTCATATTATTTTACCTGCTTCATATCCTGTTTTGCAAAAACAAAAGCTATTGCTGACCTGGATAAGGCACATCCTGCTTCCTTAAACTCGATGTTCGTAGTGTAAGCTTCGTAAGGTTATTTAACCAAAAGTAAAACAAGACTGATTTATGACACAACATGGCAGTAGTGTTTATGACAAACCACAGCCGAAAGGATATGACTCTGTGGACGGAAAGGGGCATTGATCGATATCATGTTTAACGTCAGAAGGGTGATTACGTTTCACTCAACTTTCGCGTGTACGGAAATGTAAGGAGTGTTGGTATACGCCTTTTCTCAAGCTACTGACAAAACAGACGGCTTAAGTGTGTATATACAGTGTTAACAATTCCTTAAACGTCATTCATGCAGGTTTATCAAAATATCACGTAGCCTTTAGATTATGGCAATAACAATAATAATGAAAGGTTACCCTAACGTGTGTTTTTAATAAAATGTATCAGCAACAAGCAGAAACCATGAGAATTTGTACTCATTTTCTTTATCTATTTTCTGTTTAAATAATATTGCAGATGGCGCCACTGCAGATTAATCTTAGCATACTAATGAGCACACAGAAAGGGTCACCACGTGACTGCGGCACACTGCACCAATTATAACCAATGAAAACAGACAAATTAATATGAACCAAAAATAACCGCAGTGAGAAGGTTGAGACATCTCCGACGGTAGACACATCTCCTTGCATGTTAATCACCAGTGAAATGTGCAGCATTCTGCATTCCTCCGTGTATTTATAGTTTTAGGTGTTTTAAAGGACACAAGTCCCTGCCTTACATATTTTATACTTGCTTGTCACAAGTATTTTATTAGGTGAAGAACAGATTTCTGACTGAAAATGTCACCTTATTATATACAACAGAACGCGCCTAATGGTATAATAACTAGACTTATAATCTCATCGTACCATTCAGTACAGTTGTGAAGTTCATTTAACAATATCACTTAAATCTGTTGGGGTTTATTGAATGTATATCCGTATGTGTATTCGTAGAGGGTAATTGTTAATACATGTCCATTTTCTTGTTTCATTTTTACAACATATATAGTCTTGGGTTTCTAATTTTCGATATCAGTTCATAAGTGCATGTTGAGTTCTATATAGTTGTTGAGAATTTCTCATTTCCTATATTACATTGAAATAGTCTCAATTTAAAATATAATGACATTTTATTTCTGATATTCAGACGTCGTTTACACTTTTAAACATACAAGCTGTATAAATACATCCAGGATGAGTCATCTCCATTGCAAGCAAGTATGCAGACGCACATGTATTTGCACGGTAAACTAATACAAACAAGGACATAGTCATCAAGATTCCCCGCCCATGTTCATTTATAAAACATATATATTTAAAATGAGCAGCATATAACGATGGAAAAGATATTGACCAATCAGGTCACAGCAGCCTCATTAAACATGCACTGAATTTGTCGATAATCAAACTTGAACAAGGGATTAAGGTATCAAGTCTACCAAGCAAGTTTAATCATGATCCAGTTGTTCCTTCAAAAGATAACGTGCAGAAAGCATTCAATTAAAAAGCCGACAGACATCAGCCAATCAGATCTCAGCAGTTCCATATAATATGAATAGAATTTGCCGATGATCGAACCTGGACAAGGAATTAAGGTAATTTATCTACAAGCTATTTTCCTAGTAATCTTATCATTCCTTCATAGGATAATGTGAAGTAAGATTTCCCATCAAGTGATTAATCAGTCAATCAGGTCACAGCAGCCTCATGAAATATGCGCGGTTCGCCGTTAATCGAACTTGGACAGAGCATTATGATAACAGTTGTACCAACCAAGTTTCATCCAAATCTTTCTTGTCCTTCAAAAGATATCGTGCGGAAAGCAGCATTCGTACGGACGGAAGGACGGACGGAACCAATTTGTATATCCCCCGCCAACTTTGTTTGGCAGAGGGATAATAAGTGAAACATACAGGTTAAAATAAGTTCTTCAATCTATATCAAATATGCAAATTATTATTTTGGGAAAGACTTTAATGAAAGCAATATATATATATATTTAAAGATCTTAATAAAATTGAATTCATATAAATCAAATTGTGATATATACCGTTGTTCCGGGAAAAGAAAGCTTCAAGTGACGAATGCAAAAAACCCACACTCACGTTAGTCACGGAATTGGCAAATATTTCTATTTTGATACAACAATGTATCCATTTTTTGTAATCATTAAATCAGTCATAATGTAAAGTTTTAAAAAAATAAAATTTCACACGTATTGTGTACGTAAAGGTAGGGATGCAATCGACAAACACGCATGATCTATATATCTACATACGTAAGATCAAAATGGCAAACTCTGTAGTCTATTCATTCACTTTGTAGCGTACTGACAGGTTATGTAATATATATGACAATGTTTTGACACGATTTACTTGACATATAGACATATACATGTATGAATCACCCAGACCTAAAAACAAAGAAAATGCCGACATATCAACAGAATCTTAATTGAAACACATCGTCGATGAAGTCTAGTATAAAGAAAAAAAACTACACGGAAAGGAGAATAAAAATAATATTTATTTGGCGTTTATTGATATTCTTTATTTTTAATATTCTGGGTGGTTTTCGTCCTTGCATAAAACTTTTCATTTTCGCCTAACATTAAATTCCTCATGACCCACCTCAAAAATATTCAAAACTAAACAGGATTGCATAAATAACAACAACGAACATACCGACATTTTAATATATTACAGAGTAATCATCTTCTTCATCGACAACACGCGCAGTCTTGATCAATCCAAGTAAGTAATGTCACGTTCTCAAATGAGAGCAAGGTATACAACAACGGAAAGTACAGGCAAACAAACGAGCATCAGACATGTCCCGTATCATAGCACACAAAGAAATAGAACATTTCTCAATGAGATCGCTATGACGACTGTAGAAGTTCCCCGTAATTTTCATTAACCTGCATCTCTCACAACCCTGTGTTGTGAATCTGACTGCCAGTTGTCGACATCTTGTACGAAAATCATTATTTGAACTGCCCCTTGAATATCAAATCAACTGTGACATGCAAATTTAATAGATTGGAAGATGCAGGGATTTTGCTTTTCAGAAATGGAAAAATTCACAATAGTGTGTGTGTATATGTGTGTGTGTATTGTGTGTGTGGGGGGGGGAGGGGGGTGTTGGTGTGGTGTGTGTGTGTGTGTGTGTGTGTGTGTGTGTGTGTGTGTGTGTGTGTGTGTGAAAGCGAAAGTGAAAGTAAACGCCTTTACAAGGTCTTTGCTGCATGTTTGACAAGCTCTTTGCAAAAAAAATCTTTGTATGAAAACAACAAACATATTCAGTTCCCATAGGTGTGCCAACAGTCTGTTGGAAGATCTTACCATCAAACTCAGACTCAGGGAGGATATTGTCAACCAGACACTGCATCAATCTTATTTCTACTTTTTATTTGATTTGGATGCATTTTCAGGAAATACACTTCATTAAAGTTAAAGTACACACAAAATAATCTTTAATTTCATCTTATTTGTAAGAATTATATACAGGTACAAGGTTATACTGTAATGAAAACCTCCTTGTATATAGCATGTATGAAATCGACACATAGACAGCTGGTATATTTTATTCAATGATAATAATAATATTTGGACCAAATGCCATTTACAGTCATTATATACATGTATAAATAAAACGTCACAGAGCACGTGGTTAGATTATTTAGTCTTAATGACAATTTTCTTTGTGACAGGGTTTTAGTTGTGGTCATTCCGCAATGATTTATTTTTAGTTTTCTAAAGTCATCATTGCGAGTTTATTCGTTATAATACTATCATAATTTTGTCTCACAATTAGATCTTTTTTTCAAAATGCCATTAAGAAACGTATTGAATGGCATTTTTCGTGACATCTATAAGTTTCCGATATCACAATACTAGATATATATGTAGCAATCACAGAATCCAGCATTTCTTCATTAATATATATGTAATATTCACTTCTGAGTTACTACTGAATCTTTACTTATTTACTGCAATTTTACGTACTTATTAATGTATAGCAGTTTGAATCCAATGGTAAACAATGTTGATTATTTTCCGTTTGTTTCTCCGACACACGTACCATATCAAAGTCGAGTGTGGAGACCCTACAAAACAAAGATAGTACAGTTTAACAATGTGGTGTAGAACGGTATAGAACGTACTCTTTCAAAGGAATTTTCGCTTTTCCATAGTTGTGGACATAATCAGATGAAATCTATAGGCTGTCGTGTGTAAATATATCTTTTGTATAGTAGCCTCATATTTTTTATAAATAAGATAAACTTTCACTTAAGTATCACTGCGTTAAGTAGACATAACTGTCGTTAGAGAATAGGAACTAGGTACAGTAATGAAACGTAATCTGTAATAATAATGTGTTTTCCGAAACAATCTCTTTGATAAAGATGATGCCATGTCTGTGGTGATTAATAAGTATCATTCTGTATGACGCTAGAACAACACCCACCTCGGCAAGATTTCTTGTATTGACTTCGTCATAGCGTGGCGGCTTATAATCGTTTCTTGTACCATCATATGTAAATACTGAGTTATCTCTTGGACTGTCCATAGGGTCAGGAGAGAGACTAAATGTCACAGTCCCTGACAGATCACTCTCAGTCGATACGGACCGTAACAGTTCTGAAATGCTATTGGTACGTGCTAGGTTGTCACTCTCTCCCTCCTCTTCCTCTGATGAGGGCTCATGAAGATCGGGAACACTGTTTCCTACAGCACCAATCATTGCTAAAGAGGCAAAGCTAGACAGTACCGGGAACAGGCTGCTGCTGCGGCGACGCTGCTTTACTTAAAGATAAAAAGATACATAAAGTTGTTATCATAAAAAAAATAATTGTAGGTATATGTATGTTTCTTTGTTCTGAATATCCTCATAGAAATATATGCTTTTTGCCATTACATAACTCCGTTTAGGGGTACCAACAAAATATACCGCTCTGTTATACCTGTAATATTGGTTATAGACATCCATTGGACATGAGTCAGAAACGTTATACCAGACAGTGACAATGAAGTCACCAAAAATAACCATCTAAGAAATCCAACTATAAAGAAACATGATATAGCGTGGGAAATTTGTTCAATGTGTTATGTATCTGTGATTCGGTTGTATAAAGCCTAACGATGTCATTGTTCAAAATCAGATTGGTTTCTTTGACGTATCTTTATTAATGTTGTCCATGTATCTGTCAATATAAGGCGGGCAAGTCAATTCGTGTAGGAGTCAGTCGTTCAGATGATATCTCATATAAAATAACAATATATATACATGTATATATGGCCTGTAATAGTTGTCTCGGTCAGTATATATGTGTACATTATCTACAAGAGGATGTGTATCCTTGACCTGTCCATAGAAACTCGCTATCTGTCTCTTGTTATATTGCTCACATAGGGTCACTTTCTATTTTTGGTGACTAGTCGAAACATATACTGGGAATTGGTGTGTGTTATACACGCTTAAAATGGCAGTAAACTTTCCCTCTTGGCAGTTCGTAAGTTAGCTTTAGTTCTTGGACGAATATACCTGACAAAGTTAGTATTGATAAAACAGAGTCACATTGAAGTATTTTTGTCTTGTAAATCATTTATATAGAGGTATGAAAATGTGGCATTTACATACCCTTTAGACTCGAAAATAATACTCGGCATCTTTTCTTTAATAGTAAGCAAAAGAATGTTTATTTAGTAAAAAAAACTACAGACTCAATTTCAAGATTGATTAAATATTGAAGTCGGCTAATTTTCAAGATTTTGGTGTATAAATTTGGTAAAGACTGGTTAATTATGGTCTGATAGGAATATCAAATATGAGCATTCTCATTTATAAAATAGAACTTGAAAGGAAATTTTTTTAAAAAGCTTGTGTGTAAAACGAAAGCCAATGGGAATACTCGGAATATACCTTAGGAAGTTTGACAACTTGAACCATCGATCATAATCATACTTTCGGGCCTTGGTCCACTAAGCAAGTTCAGGCTAGTAAAATTTTTTTTTCATATTTGTCTATAATAGATATGTACATTTCTATCATATAAAATTGTCGTTCTCTATCTATCCAAGAAGGAAAATCTGACTTTAACATAATTGTTCATGTTTGTGTGCCAGAATACTGTGTGATGTGTGAACATATACTTTGGGAATTTGCCTATATTGTAGTAAAGAAATTATATTCAAATAGTAAAAGATCTGTGAATAGATCAACAAAATGATAAACCAAGCTGACTCATTGCTTAGTTTTAAAGCATTACAATTTGTGTTTTCGTTCGACAGAACATCGAAAGAAATAGATTGTAGCGGCCTGGAATCACGATGTAAGGGAGACAACTACAGTTACACGATCCATGTAATCTGTCCCAGAGTGCATTGCGGTCTCTCCACAACACCTCTTTATCCAGGTCACGCTGATGCAAGAGGGAGACGCTTGAAATAACGCACTTGCATATACTTGTGTATATAGTTAGTGTACATGTGTATAAACTTATATGTTGGCAACAAAAGTGTAATTTTTGTATCCTTTTGTTGTCATATGTGAATTTAGTTTTCTTAGTATTTCTAACTGTGAGTTGACATTGTTTAATTTTAAGACAAGGTACCTGTTGGAATGTCACCTCTCCTTCTTCAAATATCCTTTAATGTCAACACATTTGTCATATTTGTGAAGTAAAGTAGAAAACAATTTTATTTTGGCTCTATATGGCCACCAACATATTGTTTCGATATAAATACTCCGACATTTAAGTCAAATGTTATAGTATGTGAGTTGTTGTGTCAATAATAAAATCACAATGCGTTCATGGGAGACCGAGCATCACGACCTAGGGGAGACAACTATGTATTTCATAATTACCTATTGGTGCACAAGATATGATCTCAGCCTCGTCGATTTGATGTTTCCTACAAAGGCCTTGCAGTTGTCTGGATTCAACCTAAATAACACATCAAATATTTACGGACAGTCGGTAAATGCCCAACTACTACCTGGTCACTCGATCATATTTAAAGTTTTAGATAAATTTTCATTTTCATTGTCTTTGACTAAAAAATGAACAAACCCTGACGAGTTCAAAAATCTGATACCAAATGGAAACCAATACCAGATTCGGTTGATCACAGTACTGAGACTGCGGGAATACATTTTTTTTCTCTCTCTCGCTCTCTCTTTTTTTTATAAACCTTACTTTCATTACATTTCTCTTTATTGATGACGTCACTATGTCTAGTTACGACGTCATTATTAAATCAATGTGACCTTTAGACTTCTGTCAATTAACACGCGTGGTCATAAACTATTTTATTGTTTTTGTAAGTATTACAATACAAGCATCAAAGAAGAGATCAACATGAAAGCAGAATTCAAATTCGATGAAACTAAGGCCAAGGATTTTCAGGAAGAAGAATATAATCAGGTGTTCCGGAAGGCCAAACGTCCTCTGTTTTATCGTCCACACCTACACGTTAAACTTGTTCTCTTATTTCTATGACTGTACAAAAAATACAAAAATGAAGAACACCTTTCAATACAAATTTAGAAACAGATTAAATGGAGTCCAATAATTGATTAAACTGTATCTTGAAGTAAAGTTAGAAAAAAAACTTACACGATACATATCTCGTTTCCGCTTCAATGCCCTTGCGACCTTCACGGCTGATCTATACTGCTGTTTGACAACCTTCAACTCGACCAAATCTTTTTCCTTGATGACCAAAACGAAACCTGATAAACAGAATTCAAATAGAGAACTGGAGACTGGGAAACACTCCTAGAGATAACAAAGGCGATGACACGGAACTCCAATCAGTAAATACCAATTAAAAACGGAGACAGTTTAAATGACTATAAAACGAAACTTTGACCAGGCTTTTTCTAATCCGGTCATCTGACTCAAATATTAGACTGTCCCGTTCAGTCCATTCAGCATGAAGACGTATGGTTTAAAAGGGGTCTAAAAACTTTTATATCAAAAGGTTAAAATCATGATCCTCTGCCATTTTCGTGACGTTGTGGAAAAAACGGACGTCATTTCAACACAGGTGTTGTTTTATTTGTCTTTCTTTTATCTTACTAATATATATTTTCAAAAATGTTAATATTGTTGTGTTTGCTACACGACTCAACTTTACTGATAAAGTATCAAAATAAAGCTATTACTGTTGACGATCCTAATGATTCTCCAAGGTAAAATGATGATGAGGATGGTTGCAGCTTCGGTACCCGGATGAGCCCAAATACCTTCCCAAAAAGCAACATCGAGGCACCAGGAAACAGTCACGACAAAAGCGTCGAAAACCTTTAATCAAAATACGCACAGTGTTACCTAAATTACCTATTTTCCTTTATTGTAGCTAATGAGTTTGAAGCCGTCTAAATCAGAGCATATTTTACTACCATAAAGAATCGTTTTCTTTCACCGAAGATCAATTGAATAGTGAAAAATGATAGGGTTAAGGGGAGGTTACTCGACATATTGATATATAAAGTTAGATGTGGAGAAACCCTGTCATAGATAAGTTCACAGTTACTGTAAAGATAAAGATGTGTGTATCAAACACTAGTTAAGTGACGGTAGCCAAATGAAATGTAAGGAGATAGTAAAACGATCGTAACTAAGTCAGGTGAAAAGAAGTAGCCATATATCATAGTGTGATTACTACAATGTTTATTGACAAAATACAGCTGGATTACCTCAAGTCTGTGTTGAAGAAAGTGACGTCCCATTCCAATTATTTTCAAAAACACCTGGTAAATATACAACATAATTTATAAGTGAACTGATCATGAGAGCGAAACAGTTCTGTTGTAACTTGTATACTTGTCTAGTATAGTTGTCAGCTTAAGGAAATGGTAAGTACAGTAGTAAAGATAAATGTATTATAGTACGACATACGTATTTACAAAAGGCACTGACGATGAGGATGGCAAGCAAGGTGTTGATATTTAGATAAAAATATAATTATGCAATACAGGGTATATACATTGATAAACGTGTGTTACTAATATACCGATAAAATTTTAATTAACGAACCTCTAACAACAGAATGGACAATATAGCCATACTCCCGATATGAAAGTAGTGTGTGACCTCATGCGTAACGGAATGGCCATGGTCATGTGAGTCTCCTCCAGCGGCACGTTTTGATCGGTGGTGGCCATTCTCGTCCGCACGTTTCCGTCTCCGAAGCAACCAACCATCTATCTTGTGTTGTACTGATCCCTTTGACCTTAGGTCGAAATTGGAAAACGGTTTAGTTTCGACCCTCGTCTCATGTGATTCTCCATCGTTATGAGCATGCGGGACCGGAGAGTAGGAGTGCGTAGCACTGCAGATCGTCTGATTGTTTTCGAGTGTTTCCAGTATTTCGTCCAAACCAAGTGTGTGATCACTGTCTGGATGGGGATCTAGAGCAGGACACAGAAGTTTAAACTGCTTCACAGCCTCCTCCTGCAGGATATCGTTCTCGTGTTGGGTGTCTGTGACAAACAAAGTGATAGGAAGGGTATCAGTATCGCCTCTCGGGTACTCGGGAAATACAACATCAGCGGAAAACTGCTTTGTCCAAGTATCAAAAACGTCAGTGGGAAATTGTTTTGTCCAAGTATCAAAAACGTCAGTGGGAAACTGTTTTGTCTGAATATGATACTAGGTATAAAAAAAACGACAGCCATACTCCTCTTGTGCACAGATTAGTTATGTCGGGGACTTTTTATAGTCAATATTGATAAGATTTTAAGATCATTTTCTGTACAATTTGTAAATAATTTAAGGGATAGTTAGACTTTGAAAACTTAAAATTTTTACAAATCAGAATATACGTGAACGAAACATTGTTCTACAACCAGGCTTCCTACAATACCATGAGCAACAGCTTGCGACATATCTAAAATCCACACTGCACTCCAAAAACCCCTAAAGTTATGCTTTAGAAAGGTTTCATGATAAAGTGTTTGGACCAACCAATTCAAAGTCCTAGAACCTCATAACGTTTTTGGCAGTTTTCAAAAGATTCGATGCTTTACAAAGCTATGGTACGACAATAGGTCCATGAAAACATACACCCATCAAAATGTGTATAATGGATCACTTAGTTATGAATAATCATAAGACATCAGACTCTGACATTATCAGTTATATGATCTCCATTGTAAAAACATGTGATATTGATATCAGGGAATCCCAACAGGAGAACTCAAACGGGTTTCATTTCATCAAATCCTATTGACAGGATTCAGGATCCATTGAATCGAACGACAAGCAAAGCCTATAATATATCAAATAAAGATAAGGGGAAGTAACTCATGATGATAACTTAAATATCGCATACACATTTACACACATACAACTACATTTACATGTATATTAATTTCAGTATATAGATATATATCATGTATAAAAATCTAAGATCTAAGTTTACTTATATATCTCCATCACAGACAGATATTGGCAGACTTGGATCTTAGTCCCACAGATCACTGCTACCAATAACCGTTAGGTATACTTAATATAATTTATTAATTAAATACATTCACTAAGTGTTACTGTTGTAAAGATAAGTGCATCGTCAATAGTCAAGTAGAATCGTTTACGTAATTTAATATCAATATGTTGTAGTTTGGTTGATACAGACAAATCAATGGATATTCTCTAGAATTTGTTTCTCCGACAGTCAGGACAACCTTGGAGAAGAATGTTCATATCAATGAGATAATGATTTCCAAGAATATAAAGAAAATAAAGCTATGTATTTCCTTGATAGGTTATTGTTATATGTTCAGCAGGCTAGATACAAATTGGACGATTTGTAAGAGGGCCGTGCTATCAAAGCCGAGTTCTAATTTTTACATGAATTTCGATGTTACAGAATAATACTGGCACTTCTGTTATCTTCTCTTTGAAAATTAAAACAGATTCAACATAAAAGCAACATTTTTATTCAAGCAATTGCTTAACGTTACAAGAATTAAGAAAATCAGAATACGCAGTGTTAACTGTGCAGTATTTTTATACGGAAGCGCATTCCGGCCACTTTGTGTTTTATTTTATCTCGAAATTTCGAGATAGCAACTCGAAATTTTGAGTTAGTAATCCGAAATTTTGAGATATTATTAAACCGAAATTTCGAGATAGCAACTCGAAATTTTGAGTTAGTAATCCGAAATTTTGAGATATTATTAAACCGAAATTTCGAGATAGCAACTCGAAATTTTGAGTTAGTAATCCGAAATTTTGAGATATTATTAAACCGAAATTTCGAGATAGCAACGCGAAATTTTGAGATAGGAACTCGAAATTTCGAGTTAGTAATCCGAAATTTCTACTTACTAATTCAAAATTTCGGATTACTAACTCGAAATTTCGAGTTGCTATCTCTAAATTTCGGGTTATTATCTCAAATTTTCCGATTACTAACTCAAAAGTTCTAAATTTCGGAACTCTGTCAAAATATTCATTGGTTCTACATAATGGTGGATTAAAAAAATGTCTGACAGGATAGATAGTCATCATTTTGGTTGTTATAGAAGGAATAATTATTTTTTTGTAAATATTAGTGAGAATATCTATGTATAATTTTGTACCTCATTTGATTGTAAGTGGAATCATCATTCGGAGAGAGAGAGAGTATTGCAGTATATACACAGTTATCGTACCTGACATGATGAGTATATCACAAATGATTTGTCCTAGAACACATGATGCATCAAGAGCGCTGAGGATGCAGACCGATATCAGAACCACGTGGGTATGTAGCAGCTGGGATAAGCGTCTCCGGCACCTGGAAATATATATATATATATATATATATATCTAAAGAAAATGAGACGACTGATTCTCAAGGCCTTTTGCTGTTTTGGCAGATCTTGAGAAGTCAGATCATATTGTGAACTCCATCATACAATAATTTACAGAATAAATAAATAAGCAAATCAGGTTCGACATCCCCACCAATGAAGATTCCTCATACCCATCTCCTTTATTTCTCCAAATAGTGGCACTGTCTCATAAAAATGTACATCTACACGAGCACCTTATAAACAAATACCCACTATCATGCACTCCGTCGCATGGGATCTAAAATGTGGCCCGTGCGGTAATGTCCGTCTGCTGGTTTTTTCGGGAAAGAGCAAGCATGACAACGCCTGCCAAGAGTTAAGGTCTTGATCAGTATAAGAATTATTAATTGATAAATTCAGACAGGCTTCCATTTATTATAGACATATCTAAATTCATATAGAATAGGATCCCATCATTTTCTTCCTTGTCCACGACTGGTATGAAGCGTGGCTACTCAGAGCTAGGTTAGGGCTAAACCTAGATTAATGACCGACTACAGAGTTATAGTATAATGACAGGTCTGATAGAACCTCTCTCTCTCCCATTAATTCATACCATTTCTTCTTTATTTATTTTCCAACCCTTTCTCGTTCTCTGATAGGCCGAAAGGCCGTAATCGTTTAAACTGTTACATAAACAAACAAGCTTCAATCGTTAATCAATAGTCTCAGGCCCTTACTCCAAATGTAAACTTTGCAGAATGCCAAGTGATACACTGTAAAAGATTATTTCAATTTACAAAAACAACTCAGCAAGGTCATTGCAAGTCTTGCACAACCGGATGCCAGAACCGTGCAAACAGAACAATTTTAAAATGTGATGGAAATAGAAAAAAAAACCGTTTGCCAGTGTTCACGAACTTGACCAAAATCGGCACACTTGCAGTTGAAACTTCCCAATATTTACAATGTTTACAGCCGCTTAACACCATACAACTACGTATTTTGTTGTTCTTTTCTATTTTTCAATTGTAAATATCATGATCAAACAACATTTTTGTTGCGAAAGTCCATCTGGGCATACTTACATCCAATGAACCGTTCAATAACATCAAACTGTAGTAATATCATATTGTATACTACATGAGACATGTCAAACAACAGTTCATACGTAAAACTGGAATGATAGAGGTCTCAACATGACTCTCTGACCTAATACAAATATCACTTCAAACGACTGGTGATTTACGACAAAATAGTTCGTTTGAAGCCACAGACTGTGTTAACTTGATATGAAGGTCTGTTACGTAATATATGTGTGAATAGTTGTATATCAAAGAAACAAATATCTAGGTTTCTGTTCCCCTGACGTTCACCCACATATTGGATACCGGCCTTGGACGCTTTGTTAAAAGTGCAAGTGCGAAATACGTCATTCAGCTTTCACAAACCTATAGAGACTCGTATACGGTCTACTTTATAAAACCTTTCGTACAGTTTGTTCTTTGTGTATCAGAAATAACTGTGTATTGAATCGTTTTTTTCACATATATAGTAAGTTATCTGTTTTCTTATAAGTTTTAATTGTTTTTCCAAAATAAAAGAATAATAGAAATTAATTAGTTTGATTTGTGATTACAACTAATTGTGTTGATCATACGGTTATTTACGGCTTCGCTCCAAAAATGTGTAATTTGACCGTTTTAAACGTTTAAAAAACATGTAGCTTTTGTATATCCTTTTATTGTACAATCATGGATTTTTGTGATGGTAAATATGATGGTTTATGAACATCGGTCAATATTGTGTTTATTGTAGGTTCATATCACTCGCACAAAAGTCCATAATTGTATAAAAGATAGTGTTAGTCGGACCTACATGTAGTGCTATGATGTTGAACATATTTTTCTCTTCCACGTATTAATTTAAAATCGGTAATTGTTAATATGACTTAAATGGTCTAATATCTTGATATAAAGTTTTATTGTATTTTTAACATTTTCCGTCGATATTAACGTGGTTTTGTTGTGAGTCCGAGGTTCTTCACGACACATATTATTCAATTAAAATGCGTCTTTCAGGATGAAACAAAAAAGTCATGACCAGCTTTGTTTTAAGGTTAGGGTTAACTCTAACAATTAGTCCTTATTTCTTTAACGTACCACATAGGACAACAAACGAAATGCAGTCATACATCACATATACTCATGTAAACTTCAATTAAAATTATATATGGTAGAGTTAGATAACAAATTTAGCTGCATGATACAATTGTTTTGTTATTCAAGGACTCGTCAATGATGTTAAGGTCTAAATAGATGTATCTACACTATTCTGTCACTATAATTAACACGAAACACTACCTTAGCAAGGATTGCCTAAAAGACACATAAGATAAAAATACTTTTAAATACTGAATTCAACTACGACGTCCTTTTAAGACTCGTCAATGATGTTAAGGGTCTGAATATTTACACCTGAAAGGCGGATGAGAAAATTATATTTGAAAAAAAAATGTCCAGACGGGGTCGGTCATAAGCCTCAAATTCGATATTCGAACTGTGTAATTTTCAAAAAATCGAATAAATTAATGAGATTGGTTAATTATATTAATTGTACCTGTACTGTCTTGATTTCCTCTTCAGTTTAAGTTTGTGTTTCACTCGCGGTAGTTTCTTTTCGTTCCCCACATCAACTTTCATCAGACATATGTCCATTGACTGCAGGCTTCTGCCGCTAGAGTTAAGACTTTTCTGGTAGACACCCATACCCTTTCCGAAACGATTACATGAGGAGAAAATACGGCTGGTTTTCTTTGCCGGGGCTTTATCACAGAAAAGTCACTGTTCACTTGTCAGATAAGTAGGTCTTGGTCCATATCATAAGAAGTCGAGAATAAAACAAATACGATGAAATTGTAAATTCAACACAGACATTCACCGCGAATCCGGATTGGTGCTCATAAATACACGGACCAGATAATGGACAAGTGTATTTGACATTAAGTGTTTATTTTGTAGGACTAATATACAATTATTGTATTGAACCATGTAGTTCAGGTTAATTATCAGGTATGAGGTGTTGCAAAATCTGAATACTAGCATTCCGTTGTGCTCGCATCTGTTTTCAAATCGTAATGTTTTTCTTCAGGTGATTTCATATCGAACATTTCACTAAATTACCAGAATATGGTACACGTGAGTACCCCGTGTCATGTTACACGTGACATTCCCATTGTTCTGACATTCTGATTTGATGTATTGCAACTCGATCATTTTGGCGCTAGGTATAAAAATCAATAATCTCAGGGATACTAGAGAAAGTTAGTTTAACACATGTTTTTTAACCGTTAACTATAGTTCTACCTAAAGAAATGTGGTCCCCTGAACATACAGTGTTTACCTGTTGCAGTGGATTTAATTTTCAAAGGCTTTATCTTAATTTCTATCTTTTAAAAAAGGTGTCAATAGCAGAAATATTAATCTGCAACCAAGGGATTCGAGATAAGCTGGCTGATAGGTATTTGGAAGAGTCATACAGTCTCCAGTATGGTTCCCTGAAAACATTTATCCATTCCCTTGTGAGTTATGAGATTATCTGGTGGTTACGTTATTGTTAACATTGCTGTCATATGATAACGTTCCATTATGTACTTGATTTAACCAAGATTAGATGGCGAATGTCGTCGATGAAGTGGAAAACGCTTTCCCGTTTGGAACATATGGTCTCATTACCCCAGTACTTTTTCTAGGTTCTCAGTATAAACCTTTCTTTTGTTCAAGTGTTGAAAAAAACGATTATTGTTTTTTTAAACATCGGCATAAATCTCCTTTACAAATGTTCTTCAGCTCAAGACTGCAACGAAAGTTCTTAATGGAAATTCCACGACATCAGATAACGCAAATTGTTTACTCTTCAACCCATTTGTAATTCTAAATAAAGCATTAAAGGAGACATGAAAACACAGATACTTTACTTGGTAATTAACAAGTCATTTAGTATGTTTACTCATTACATATCGATACTCGTTTATCATTTGTGAATCGTTAGTTAGTTTTATTCTGTTAAAATATAGAACGGAAATGAATGTGATACGTAATATGTGACATTATTAGACTATAAAAATCGCATCTTTAATGGTTTCCGGTTCAATATCATATGTGACAGGATATCTATATTTTTACGAGTGTTTCACAATCGTGAAAAATATATTCACATAGAAACATAATACTTTTTACATTCACGTTTATGATTTTGCAATCTGAGGTTATTAAATGTCTGAAAATATATGCCCTTCATCTTAAAGTCTGGTGTCACGTGTCACGTGTCCCGGTGTGGTGTGACCAGCCTGTGATTGACAGTTATACCTTCATCCGTATATTCTATAAGTACACTTGACATTATACACCCCCAGTAATATAGATATAATTTAAACAAACTCTGACATCTTTACACTAAAAGGAACTTCACGGAATTTATCACAAAACAGGAACAAACAACATTAAAGTGTCATGCTATTTGTAGAATACCAAAATAGTATAACTATTTTATCATACAGAAAAGTGCAATATCATTAAACGTGACATAACAAAATGAAAATGGTGATTGAACAAAGATCTTTAGGACATACCATATATTTTTTTTTAAAATCGTTACAAAATCGTGTCATTCTTGATGATAGTAATACAACGTACTACAGTAAGTCCTTTATGCTTTAGAGTTTGTCTTTTACTTTTCAGGTTCTTCGAAACGTAATATATGTGTAACGAAGTCCCATTATACAAACGCCGTTTAAATAATATTCCTTGTCGTTTAATGAATATTAATTGGTTCGTTTACTTGAGCACCTTCTGTGAGACATATATCAACTGAACTTCTATTAAAAAACAAGAAAGCACCTTACACGGAGATTCTTGAAAAGAGACAAAGTGATCAGGAAGACAATATGATTTCAGCTTAATCAATGACACCCGCCATGTATGTAATGTCACGTTCTCAAACATGAACAAGATTTACAACAACGGAACCAACAGGCCGATAAACGAGCATCAAACACGTTCAGCCTCATATCGAACAAAGACATAAAATATTTCTCATTGATATCACTATGATGACCTTAAAGGTTCCCCACAATATTCACCACCTTGCATCTTTTGAAAATGTGTTACGGGGTTTGTTTGTTAGTAAATGACCTTTTGACGAAAATCGTGATAATGGGAACAGGTCCTTGAAAATCAGCTATGACAAGTAAACATCATATGTTAGGAATGCAGAGATATTGCTATCCAGGAACGGAAAATCAATTTAATATAACGCAGGATTTCCGTTTCATCCCTTTTTGACAAAATTTCAACGGAATCCATAAGTATCTAGAAATCTTCATTCCGGTTTTAATGGACTTGGTTTCACGATATTTAGGACACTTTATATAGCTTAAAATTGTGGAGGGTAATCAAATCATGCGTATATTCTGAACCGTGCCAATATTCGATTGACTTAAAACATGGCAAGTAGATTACAGCAAACCTCGAGGACTTGAAGTCCACTAGCAGTGTCTTCCACCTGACATGTAATTAGTAGTCTGAACGTAATTGACCGATAAGTAAGTGTTACTGATATATTTCGGATGCAATATTCAGTACAAACATTTGTTTTCTTTTGTTTTTTGTTGTTATATCAATAGAAGACAATGAAATGACGGAGCACCACAACCTAACAAACCATACTGCGTTTCAAATACTTTCTCTACGGCCGATCAAACACATAATGACATTCATTGGAGAATTTTTTTTCTAGAAAAAGTAATTGAAAGATTTCAATTCATGATTTATTGATGATTCGCAATGCAAGATATATTGTAACGTTTTGACTTCAAATAACAAGAGACCGTTTACCAGATCCATTCCTTAACAACTGAAATCATGATGTGTCGTAATTGTTATGATTGCGATTTTTTTCTATTGTGCATTTTCCACCTCTAGATTGTAAAACATAGCTTCAAGAGTTGTAAGTATGTCGAAGTTAATCGAGTGTTTGATCCAACTATCATCCATCAGCTTAATGTTTTCCAGAGGAACACGTTAATCACGACGAAGAAGAAGTTGTATAATCGCCACCATGACCTCTTTTGGATTTTATTTCTATTACGATATAAAGTGAGATGTATCCTATGTTTACCATTCATCTAGAACCTTTTTTCCTCGTTGTTTTTGTGAATATGTTGCATTTTTATGATGTTGTTGTTGTTGTTTTCAACCAATACTAACTTTAAAAAGTGTAGTTAATTGACCAGTTTTATTTATTGAATATACTTGATATCAGTTTACGTTTACTGATCTTATTTACGTACTTTAGTTCTTGTGGCGAAATGACATATCTTAAAGATGAGTTGTACAACAAAAACTTATCTTTCTCCGTGTGAGTAGCTTAATGTATATTCTAGTTCTGTTTAGCACAATCTATTAAGGTTTCTAACACATGGTGGAAACTAGGAAGTACTGATGTGTGCGTCGTTGATTTACTCCAGATTTACAATTCGACCCTTCATTAATGGCGGACATGAAACTCATTCAAGTGCACACGTTTTATTTTTGCGGGTCATTTTACTGAAGATGTGTGTCATTACCATGAATTACAGTACTTACGTAGGTAAATGTACCAAATGACTTTTCTAGTTACAGGAACCATCGTAAATTTTCAAAAAAAGTACCAGGATACATATATACTCACCCAAACACACCAACATGAATTTGTTGGCTTGTAATTTCTGAAAAAGGGGCAAGATATATTTGTCAAAAGAGAGCAATGAACATAATATACCGGACTATTATGAATACAATCTATCTCATCATAAAGTTTCATTCATCAGAAACAATGGATGCGAATGTTTCTATATTATATTTCATTCTAAATTTGTTTTAAAAGGTCCTATTCAAAATTTGTCCTTTGTATAATAGTAGAAATGATAGATTTATATGTAGGTCGTGCCTCTTACTTGTGTGTCTTATTTACAATCCTTTCAGATTACAGCGGTATACACTGCTGGTGGTCTGAAGTCCCGATTGTTTGTCATGGCTTGCATGCCCCGATTTAATTCTTTCAAATACAAGTAGTGTGGCACGGTTCAGAATATGTTCATGCACTTGAGAATGTTTTGAAATCATTTAATATTGAAATTGAAAGCTTGTAGTCACCGCACTTGTTCTTTACTTTGTGTTCGCCAAATTATAATTTCCTCGTTCTTTTCCGAGGTATGAACAAATTAACCTTGCAGTATCACTGATGAGCCATAGAGGAAAGACATGCCTGAATAATTGCTTCATTATTTGTCTCTACTGTATCTTATCCTAATTACAAATAAAGGTTCTATTCACTTATATACTTTTGGACCAAAATTCTTATTACGAATTCACTCTTATTTCATAAAATTGAAAAAAAAAACCTTGACGAAATTGCTGACGTAAGACATACATAATAGCGTTAAATCTTAAAATAAACATATTTTCCCTTGTCATTTTAAAACTTACATTTAGATATGAAATAAAGAATGCCAAGATGTTATTGATTATAGATTGTTTTGGCGACTTACGAATTTCGTCCAACACTCGAAATGATTATTAAGAAACAATGTTATGGTCAGGTGGTATGGCTGTCAGTGTACCTTATGATGGTTCACTCTCCCCTTTGTGTACTTAATTATATTGTTAAATACGAACTATATCTTATTTATAACGCGAGTTACGAGAAACACGAGTATAAATACAAGCTT